GTGAACTAAAATCTTTGGGGAAATTACTTAATAAGGCAGAGGCTGAGAATGCAGATACTGGACATGGTAAGAAAAGCTGTGGACCATATGACCTCATGACCTGGGGCTTTGGGATAGGGTGAGTAGGAGAGCGCAAGTGAAGGGCTCTACCCTCCAGCTTTGTGAAAAAGAAAGGGAGAGTTGGTGTTCATATGGCACAGGAATTTACAAATGTGATATTTATGTTGCATTGCATTTAAAAAATCTTTCCCTGTATATTACTTTCATAAATATGGTACTTATTTAACATTTGTACATGATGAAATGTTTTTTGATAAAATATTATTGAAAAATCTGTGTTCCATTCTTTGTAATTTATGGAACTAGTCAGGGCAGGCAGACCTCCCTCCACTCAGTGGTTTAACCTAATAGAAGTGTATTCCTCACTTCCGTCATAGTTTCAGGTGGATAGAAGGGAGGCAGTGCTGGGGACAGGGGTCAGTCTAGAACCTGGGCTCTGTCCATCTTGCAGCCCCACCCTGTTGTAGCTCCTTGTGGTTTTCTCTGTTCAGTAGGAAGATGGCGAAAAGCATGAGCTGGTTTGAAAATGGCCACCTAGCCTTTGTGGTCCATTTATGTGTGCACATCTCACATGTACTTGAAGTGTGAATGGACTTAAGGACTTGCTTCTAATGAACAGAAAAAAATGGAAGTGATGGCATGTAGCCTTGGAGACTAGGTCATAAAGGCACTGTAGCTTTTTGCTTGCTCCTTCTCTCGCTCAGATGGCTCACTTTGGGGGAAGCCAGCTGCCGTGTAACAGGGACACCCAGCTGGCCATGCAGAGAGAGAGGCCCATGTGGTGAGGACCTGAGGTCTTTTGTCAGTTGCCAGCAAGGAAACAAGCTCCTGCCAACAGCCGTTTCAGGGTGGCATCTGGGAAGGGGATCCTCCAGATTCACTCAAGCCTGAAGATGACACAGTCCCCATTGATGGCTTGACTGCAATCTCATGAGAGGCCCCAAAGCAGAAATACCCAGGAAAACCACCAGATTCCTGACTCTCAGCAACTGTGTGACATAATAAATGTTTGTTGCTATAAGCCACTAAGGTTTAGGATGATTTGTTACACAGCAATATATAACAAATACAGAGAGTGAAGAATTTGGCATGGAGGGTTTTATATTCTCGGCCTGTAAGAAGCATAAACGACTTCTACCCCATTCCATTGGCTGGAGCTGACTCACATGGTCACACCTAGAAACCTAACTGCAGGCGAGGCTGGGAAATGTAGTCTAGCTGTTTGTCCCGGATGGAAGGAAGCACTGGATGAACGGCTGCCACCCTACCATGTGCAGTGAACTTATACTTGGAAATGTTTCGACCACAAAGGGCTGGTGGCTGTTTATCCAAGTTCAGATAGAATTCTTAGAGGAAATAAGTAAAGCCTTTGAAGTATTAGTATGTAATATTAGTTTCTCTTATAGAGTGATGTCAAACATCTCTGGAGTTACTCAGGAAAATATGAAGAGGCTTTGGTTTGTCGGATTTACTAGTGCTGTCATAATCATAGTAACAGTGAACAGCAGTAACAATAATAGTAATATCACTACCAACAGTTAACATTACTGAACACCCAGGTGTTGTCTGAAGCTTTTTATTTATCATCACAGTGATAGAATGAGGTGGGTACAATTCTCTCAGTTTTACAAATGTGGAAAGTGAGGCACAGAGAGACTAGAAAACATACCTGGAGTTCTCCAAACATCTGTGTGAGCTGCAGATCCATCTCTTTCACCTAAGTCTGTTTCTTCAGAGATGAGACACTTGATCGCTAATTGAGGATAGCAGGGTGTTGGGGGCAGAGGCTGAGCTCTTCCAAGAATGTTCCAGCAGATGCTGTGGGAGGTGTGCTGGTGTGCCATCCCAGTGCTGGTGGAATGCAGGTCTGGCGTGCTCTTCTGCAAGGGGAGTAGAAGGAGGGCGCTGAGGCGGCAAGCACAGAAGTCAGTGTAGCAGCAGGTAGGAAGACATAAGCTTGGGAATAAAACTCCCACTTGGTGGAATTCAGTTTTTATTTTTCCTTCAGCACAGCTCAGATAGCATGCTTCTGAGCCTCAGTTTCTTCTATATACCAGGGATAAAAAATACCTGCTGTTTGTAAAAATACACATCTTACTTGTTTAAGGCTTGAATGACATGGTGTATGGAAAAACATCTGGAATATTTGTTGGCAACACTAAATTCATTTTGTGTACTTCTCTTACTAATGCCATGATTTTCTAGAGAATAGAGGCCATGTCTTATTTATCATTACATCATTAGTAACTAGTGCAATGTCCGGTACCAAGTGGTTGCCCAACACATTTTTACTGAAGACACAGATCAGTAAAAGATCAAATCATTCCTTCTTGGAACTGTGGTGCTCAGTTTGAGATGTGGTCTAATAACCATCTCTTCCCTTTGGGTTCTGCTCAAGAGTTCACAGAGCGCTTCGTACCCAGGGACTCTTGCCACTTCCCCATCAGGATATCACCACTGCCCACTTCTGGAGCAGTGGGGGGCAACACTTATTAAAGTACTTTGTCCAATTCAGGATTGAAGGAAATCTAATGAATTCAGAGAGTGTCTGCAGGAGAGCAATAAAAATGGATTAAACAGACCTTCTGAAGAAAGGTTAAGAGAATTAGGATTATTTCAGCTGCAGCTGCTGGTGGGGGGAATAATAAATTTTCAAGAAACAAAAGAATACCTTGCAAAACTTTGTGGTTGCTGTGGGCTACTCCACTCAGGACAGCAGAGAAGGAATTTTGATGACTGTCCTGTGGCAACAATAAGCAGCCTCCCTCACCCTCTCTGTAACTGGGATTGTAGCAGTCCCTTGCTCTCTGATAAGTCCTTATTGCATTAGGTCATCTCCTCAAGAGCATTGTGGTATTCTCAGGTGCTCTGATGTCACTGGGGCCATGCAGAGTGGAGACATTTTTAACTAATTAAAAGGTTAGATGATATTCATCTCCTGACTTGGCACTTCCAAGGGAGAAGACCATGAACCCTATTAACCAGAGGCGCCAAAGACATTTAGAGACACTGTACGTCCCTTCTTTGCTGCCCTCCCAAGGCTCCTCTGGTTAACTCTTATAAAGCCACTACATCCCATAACACATGTATGGATAGCATATTCATTTACTTTTGTTCAATTATCATATAATATTTTTGGATAGAGGAAGGCTTCCTAGGAGAGCAGGAGCATGGAAATAGGTATTCGCACAGTCACTAGGACTATGATATTCCTTGCCTAAGCCTGGAAGTTAACTTACATGAAGTTTATACAGCTTAATAACATAGCATGCTTATTAAGTGCATTCTATATGCCAGGCATCCTGTTAGGCACTGGGTCCACAATGGTGAATTGTGTGTATGATGTGGTCCTTGTCAACACAGGGCCTAAACACAGATTAGTGGAGGCCACCCACAAATCAAGAGGCAATTGCAATAGTTCTCCAGGCCTCCTTATTTCTGTGTATGTCCTGCACTTTGGTTATGGGAAACAGGTCAGTATTCTTTCAATAAATTCCTTGTGTTCTTCCTAAGCCACATCAAGGTGGGATTTTGTTCCCTGCAACTAAGAGTCCTGGTGGAGACCATACATTTTGTTCAGCTACTGAGGTTCTATTCTGTACCTGCATTTGCAACCTCAACACCAGGTGGCACACGCCTAGCCCATCAGCTCTGTGGCTGTTTCCAGGACTCTTACTAGGAGGCAGTACTGACCCATAGTTACCCACCCAGGTTCTAGAGTCCCACAAAATGAACTTGGGATTTTGGCTCTGCTGTTTTGGGCAGCTGTGTGGTCTAGTGCTAATGACTTACTCCTCTCAGCCTCGGTTTTCTTTTCTCATCCATAAAATGGAAGCCTCATTGAGTGTTAGGATTAAAAAGGACTTTACATTTGGTAGAACACCTGGCACACACTAACCACTCAATAAATACTAGCAATTATTCTAATACAAACCAAGTCTAGATAGGAAAGAAATGGGTTTGCTCACTCAACTCGACAAGGCTATGGATGAGGTCAGCTTCTCAGATGCACAGTTACTCTAATGCAGGTAGAAGTTACTCTAAGCTTAGATGGGCTTCAGTGCCTCAGGGGTGTCCTGAGCACGATGGGCCACTTATGGCACTGCTGCTTGGGACGTGATCTGACAGGCTGCTGCTGTCTCTCCGGAAAAACTGTAGTAGAAAACCTTATGAAACCATGCAGTGGCCTTGCTAAGTTAAGCCTCACTTCATCCAGGAATCCCACAGATTGTTCCTTCAGGGGCTTTAATTACCCAAACTACTCAAATAAACTAATTATAACAACTCAAGATTGCCCTGAAGTTGCATTTATGCTCAGCAAAAAAGGTCATAAAACCTTCCCTGCCCAGAGCTCCTGTTTATTTTTTCACGGTCTGAGGAAAAGATTGCTGATAGTAAGAAGAGTTTGTCAGCTATATTTCTTTCTGGTACTTCTTGTTTTCTTTCTCTGACCTGAAGCCTTTCACTCCCTTATACTCTCAACCTCTCCAATTCCTGCTCCCCCCTTATTTAATACACGATTAGAAGCAATATAACTGAGAGTGGCTTTAAAGCCAGACATACCTGAATTGCAATCCTGGCTCTAATGCGGTGATAAGACCTACTTCCCCTTATGACTACATAACAAGGACTCAATAAATGAAAATTACTGATAACTATTATTATTAAAACCCATTTCTTCTATGAAAACACCAAAATAATGTAGTTTGAGGATAATAGTCATCAGAAGCAACTGGAGTTCTTACTACAAATGTAGGCTCCTAGGTCTCACCCCAAATCTGCTCACCCCTGAGGGTGGGAACCATGAGTCTGCATTTAAAACAAGCTCCCAGATGATTCTTAGGCACATTAAGGTCTGAGAGTCACTGAGATTTTATCTGAAGATGACAGAGATGGAGTCAATACATTATCTTTCTCAGTGGTATTTATATTTTGCCTAGACTTCCCACAGTGGGATAAGAGATTCTGGACCTGTGTCTCAGTCATGGATAAGCAGGAGTGGAAAGGCTTTTATGAACTCCGAGGACATCTAGTCCCCTGGTATCACACTGTATCTACATCTAAGGTCAACTCCGAAGGTAAGTCTGCTCTTGATGTTTGAGCCCTTAGCCTCTTCCAAGCAGTGCTCAATTGTGAGTGGTATTGACATCCCCTGGGCATTTGGGAATTTTGGGGTGATTTTTGGTTGCCAGAATGACTGGGGTGGCCTGTAGATGCAAATGGCTTACAGTGCCTACAGTGATTTTGCTCAATAGAGTGTCCTGTTTCATATGACATAATGTCCCTGCCTAAGGCCAGTGGTGAAGAGAGGAAAAGGGGGCAGTTTTTCATCACTGCTCACCTGTGACTGCAGAGACCCATTCCCCAGAGCCTCTGGAGGTAGAAGACTGGTGATGGATCCTTAGGCATTGTGTAGGTCTGCTGTGCCATGATAGACCTGTTCTGCCCCTGCACACAAATGCCTCCAGCCCCTCTTAGCCTAAGCACCTTCCACCTGCAGGTAACACCTTCCTTCCATAAAATGTGTGGCTGTAGCTGGAAATGTGTCTTCATGAGAGGCAGGGTGGTCACAGAGCTGATGAAGCTTGAGCTCCAGAGCTCTTGTCTTGCACAGATCCCCATGGGTGCCGGGAAATATCAAGTGGAGAGGGAAAGCTCGGTTGCCTTCAGGAAGGTTCTGTCTGTATAAGCATTTCTAACAGTTGCCTAAAGGGATCTCATGGGAAAGGTACCTGGATCTCCAGAGTGCTGGTAACTTGTGATTTCTCATTTTAAGCAAATATTTATTTTGGTACCTCGTTTTGTATTTGTAATTTTGCATTTGTTTGAACAAGACCATGCTTTACAAATTATATGAACTTCAGACTCCCTAACACCTGGATCTTGCTCCCCATTAGGACTCATTAGCTCTCTAGATATATGTCTTGGAGAGTTAATAGATTTTCATGTGACTATAAAATGAATATCCCATGGTGGTTTTTTTGGGCCCCAGGTGAGCTGAACATTGTGCCACATCTTCCATTGGTCAAGAGCGGCCTCCTGGCAGTAAATCCCCCACATCCCCACATTTTCAGGCTGATGACTCAAGACATGCTCAGGATCTACCTGCACAGAGCTGACTGAATCCTGCAGGGGCAGGTCAAATGCAGCATTGGCCAAAATAGGAGGTGGGGTCAAGCCAACTGACATGAGACATAGTGGCTGATAAAAATACATACCTTACTTATACAACCACCACAGCACAGTTGATCACAATGCTTCCCCACAGCTGTGTATCATTCCTCTTCAAAGTTAGCTCTATTAAAGAACATTCCAGTTTCTAAGTGTCATTTAAAGAATAATACCTGGTGGGTGACTCATCTGGTTATAACCTAGAGTTGGCTGTTATTGAGTAAGCTCGTAAGTCTCTTGACATATAATTCTACCTAGGGCAGAAAGGGAGATGTGAATGAATTTGCTTCTCTCAAAGAAAACCATGTGTTGAATATACTGGCCCAATTACTTTTGAAGCATTTTATCATCAAATTTGAGAAGCTACTTGGCACTGACTTTCACTTTAATATTCACTCTACTTCTCTAGAAGTTTTCTACTAAAATAACTATAATTCTCAGAGAAGCTCTGCTCACCTATTCTTTTCAAAAGGCCTCCCTTCTCCTTTCTCTGTGTGTGAACTGAACTCACCCAGATAGTTTTCCCTCTCTGGGCTTCAGCACATTTTTGTTAACTTTAGGTCAGCTCAGTGGTGCTTGTACTTCAGTGTTCATCAGAGTCCCCTAAAGGGCTTGTTTAAGTGCAGAGAGCTGCACCCCCCCTCCTTTTCTGCTTCAGTAGGTCTGGGATGGGGCTGAGAATGTATAAGTTGACAGCTTGGGTGGTTTCTGCTATTGCTAGTCTGGGGTTGCACTTTGACCACCAGTGGGCTAGACAAATGGACTAGACAGCACTGGACTAGACAAATCGCCTAAATCTGGTTCATTATCAGAATTACCTGAGGGAACTTTTGACCAATGAGCATATGCCTGAGACCAATCCCTGCATGCATCAGAATCTCTGCAAGTCTGGGGCAGGATAGTGGGAGGTGAGTAAAGTGCCCAGGGTGCAAAATTAGGGATGCACTCACTTTTAAGGGTCATGTAAGTGCAGATACTGAGAACAAGTGCCTCCTTAAATTTGCATGCTGGACACTTCACTCACCTCCCCCTAGTTCTGGTCCTGCTGGGACTAGAGCTGGGGATTAGTACTTAATATATCAGACAAGCTGCTGCACAGATGCCTCTCCAAAGCTTGCTGGCTTACAAGAGTGGTGGGTAGGCCTTTACTGATTAAAGGATGAGGCTATTTCTTACAACAAGGGATGCTTCACATGTGATATTTCTAGGACTAAATATTCACAGGCCATTCTTGTAGTAACCAGTTTCAGCCAAGTTCCTCCCTTAGGTAGAACCTTCAAATAACTCAATCTGTTGAAGGTTAACTGCAGATCAAAAACTGACTTACACTAGGAAAACATAAAATGTAACAGAGGGTGTGTTGGAGTCGGAGCTGGTGAGCTCCTCACTGTAGGTGCTCCTCTTTCCTTATTATTCATGTATATGCTTACAAATAATATTTAGTGATAACATATCACATGGGCAAACAATCCTTTTTTTCTTTTTCCTAATATCAATTTATTTTGAAGTAACTCTAAACTCACAGAATAGTTGCCAGAACAGTACAAAAGACTCTTACATCCCCATCATCTGGATTTTCCAACTGATAATATTTTATTGCATTTGCGCTCTCACCCTCTGTTCTCGGTCCAGAATCCCATCACACAAATGCAGTGTGTTTCATTTCCAGTCTGGGAGAGTGCCTCATTTTTTCCCTGCCTTCCATGTCCTTGGTGGGTGTAAAGAATAAAACCCTTTCATTTCACGTGATGACCCTCAACTGATGTTTCCTCATGACCAGGCTCAGGTTGTACACTCTTGGCAGGTACCCACAGGCTCACTGCTGGCTTCGCAGAGCATCACACCAGGGTGCACTGTCTTAACCTAGCCCCTTACCGCAGATGTGAACCTTGATCAACTGGTCCTGTTGGTGTCTACCAAGTTTCTCCACCAGTTTTCCCTCTGTACTTACTTAGAATTTTGTGGGATGTATTATTCCAAGATCACACTGATATCCTTCCATTTCTGTGAAGGCTGCCAAATGAGAGTCTCCATTTCCATCACTTTTTCTACATTTATGAGTTGCCATTCTGCCGTAAAGCAGAATTTATTAATACATGCAGACTCATGGTGCATTAAGGTTCTCCAGAAACACAGAACCAGTAGGTCTGTATGTGTGCACATACAAGGTATTGGCTTATGTTGGAGAATGAGGGGTTCCATGATCTGCCATTGGCAAGCTGGAGACCCAGGAGAACTGGTGGTGTAGTTTGGAAGCCTGAGAACCTGGGGGACTCTAGGTGTAGTTTTCTGTCTACACGTTTGAATACCTGAGAACCAGGAGCACCAAAAAGGGCTGGACAAGATCAATGTCCCAATAAGATAAATGAATCCAACTTCCCTCTGAGTTTTTGTTTTATTTAGGCCCTTAGTGAATTGCATGATGCCCACCTGTGCTGGGAGGACAGTCTGCTTTACTCAGCCCACTGACTCAGATGTTTATCTCTTCCCCAAACACTCTCACAGACACACACGGAAATAACATTTAATCTGATATCTGGGTATCCCATGGTCCAGTCTAGTTTGACACACAAAATTAACCAACGTAACATGAATTTCTATTTTTAACTAAAAATGTGTAATTTGTTACTTTCGTTATTTATTTAATGCTCAAATGTTCCACAGTCCAAACAGCGGGGGCCTCTTCATGACATGTTTCCATCATTTGTTGACTATTTTCTTACTTTCTGGCACAAGAAAAGATGTTCCAGGCTCATCCTGTACCTTTCTGTGCCTCAGCACAGAAGTGAACCATTTCTCCCGAGAGACATTATAGTGTCTCACATACTCCCACCAAATACATTTATAAATGAGAATTACATGTTAAGAACTCTTCTGTTTCTAAATGTGGGTATAAGCATGTTAACAAATGGTAAAACCTTGAAACAAAAGGTAGACCCGAAGGAATGGATACAAATGGGAGGATAGACCAGAGGAAAGTTTTTATGGCTCTGTTTCTTCTTGAATTATCCCATTAGTTGACAAATATGCTCACCTCTTAACATTTTCTTTGCACTCTAAATCCTTTTAGTATTAACTTGTACCTAAGTTACAAGGTGTTCTTCTCACTGGAGCTGGTCCTCTGGCCTAGATTGATGAGGACAGTTCTGGTTTTTGACCTTTCAATGTATCTCCACTGAGATCAACTAGAGGAGTGGAGTGAACAGTTCAATCCAGTCTGTTGGTTGAGCATAAGGAAGATTCTGGAAAAGACCAGCTTACTGTGGGTAGTTCCTAATGAAACCAAAGATAGTGGCTTAGGAAAGAAATCGGCAGATAACATGTTATTCTGCTGTTGTTCCTAAAAGTTCCCATTGTTTCCTACTGAGGCTCCTTGCCAAAATAATTAACTGGCAACTTGGGAACTGCAGTAGGGAGTGTGGAGGGAGAGATAAGATCTTTTTTTTTCCTGTGGATTTTTGCTTTCCTGAAAAGATTTCAGGTTTTGCAGTTTTCTCCTATTTCTAAATGTTTTCATGCTAATGAGAAGCAGACCTGGAATCATGTAATGGTTGAGTTGGTAAGATAATTGCATTACAATAAATAGCTGAGGTACTAGGCCCATAAAACTGACCTACAACCCACTGTTCTTTTGCAATAGGGAACTCTTTGAGAGCAACAAATTTAAAAGGGCTCATATTCATTTGGACCATTTCTTCGAAGTATAAATAAGAAGAAGTCTACTTTAAGGGCCCTGTGTTGGGTTAGAGTAATTTTTATGTCTTTGCTAAGATGAGGAGTGCTATCCAGAGAAAATCATGCTGACATAATTTGGGCAGAAATGATATAAGAGATAGTTGGAAAAATCAAACCTTTTGCTTTTCCAAGCAAGAAATCAAGGTATCTTGGTATTACTGGGAGGAAAATG